AATACCAAACTTTCATCGGTATTGTGACATCCTCACCTTGATTATAGTATCACTGTCCAGTCAAGTGTCTTCATGAGTACTTAACTTTTCAATAAATCAAGCATTTACTGGTATTCTGAGTTCTATGCAAAATATTGTATGCATAAATGACTGGCTTGTTCCATCTTATTTAGCTGAGCCAGAGTACTAGTCAGATCACAGACTTGCAGGACATCTACCACTACTACTTCCCACAGATTTTAGTGAAGCTGGGAATGATGTTAATGTCTTCTCTTTGCACAATACAAAGTTGTGGCAGAATTTGGTAGATATAAAAATAAATGGTGGCCTCAAGCCTTTAGGGCTCAATCCTTATACAAGCAAGTCGTTTTGTACAAAATAAACCCGTATAAAAGTTTTAAAAAAATGTATTTATTTTTTTCCCCCAAAAGGTATAAATGAATTATGCATCCCACTCCCATTTGTCTTAAGCCTCTTCCAGTGCAGGTTTCAGACCCATTAAAATAACATATTGCATGAATAGCTGTCCATTGTGATAGAGGGATCGAATTAAATTTTTTTACTGAAAGATACAGACCTTTGATGTGAAGAAACATAAGGCACTTGACTGAACTAGAAACTAAAAGCAGAATATTTGTGTAATATGCTGTGTGCAATTTGGATAAACTGTACTCCTTGCTGCTTCCATTGCTGCTCATAAATTATCACAATATGCTGTCAATTGACTTGCTATATTACATGTGCATTTTATATTTTGGAATGTCATTGCTTATGCCAGCGTGTTTCCTATTGCAATCTCACTGTTTGTGCTAGAGAACTAACACTCCAAACTTCTTGGTTTGTAGTACTTTCTGTGTAATTCTGAAACAAGAGTGCACAGGTACTGTGCAGTTTGCATTTATGGAAAATATTTAAAGTGTTAGCTTCAGTCTAACTTGTCAGTGAACTGAGTTGCTTATACAGCAGTGGTTTTCAACCTGTGGGTCTGCAGACTGTCTAAGGGGTCCACAGAAGATGACTCTGCTTAGGGACCTATCTAAATTGCGGTGCAAGTTGTGGCGCAACATTGCCTTTAATCTTGCTCTTTTCAACCTCATGCCCCTCCTTCCCCCCCCACTGCTGAGTTGTTAAGCGACTAAAATCATGGCATTCATTGCCTCTTGGCCACTCAGTGGCAGGGAAGGGAGGATCAGGGGTGGGAGGGAGGTAGTAATCTTTGCAAACATTCATAGTTCTGGAGAGAACTAGTTCTACTGTACTAAGAAAAGACTTTGACATTAAACTTGAAATTTGTCAGTAAGATAATCCATTCTTACTGTAGGGTTTGAATTACTTGAAAAATGAACTTAAGTGATACTTTCTTTTCTTGAATGTTACTGCTATTTGCCCAGTAACAAATTGGTTTGGAGAAAAAGGTTTTCCATAAAGTCTTCGTTTTTACAAATTGTTTAGAAACTGCTGCTGTATTTCAAAGTATTAACTTCCAGCCATGTTCCCTCTCTCTCATTTTTTGATTACTTGCCCCCAACTTAGTGGTTTGGATTGTTTTGCCCATAGCGTTCCTTAGCCTACTTGCAAACGTAAATTTTACTGAATAAGGCTTTTGAGCGACATACTTAGTGGCAGTGAGTTCTAAGCCAGAGTCATCTAAGGTGGGCAGGAGTGCCCAGTGAATTACCCAAGATCAATTACTTTTTAAATTATACTTGTGGGAAAGGACAATGCAGGAAAATCTCTTTATATAATTGATAAAGGTTAGAATTGGATATCCTTGTGGAGCATCAGAAAGTGTTCCTTGTTTAACATATTTGTGGAAAGCACGAGTTAGATTTTTATTAAGGAATGGCCACATCTGTCAGTCCTTTTTGTTTTATTCGAAACACTATATCAGTGGGAGGAGAGAAACGGTAGAAAAAGATATGATGTAGGGTACTAAAAAATTATTCACACAGTGTCCTGCTTTCATCAGGACTCTGATATTTTGGGTGGGGGAAAGGGGGGGGGGAGGGCTATTTTTTTTTTTGCCATATCCAGTTGAAGAAAGCCCCATCAACTTGCTTTAACTAAATTTTGAAGATTCAAAACCTAGACCTGAAAAGTAAAATGTCAGTTTTTACTAACATCTAGGATGAATTGTAAACAAAGAACATTCATTTGCATCTGGTAGCAGTCCCAGTGGTTTGTATGCCCTAGTGTAAAGCTCTCACTAATTGTTTCGTAGTACAAATAATCACAATTAACTTTCCATATGTTGGCTTTTGTTGATCATGTCTGTTCAACAACTCAGACTTTCTAGTACAGATGATGTATGGCACTTTGATCATGGGAGGTCTCTTTAAAAATAAGATCAGCAAATGTTTGCAGAATGGCAAATTAATGTCTTATTCTGAACTAGTAAGTAGGTGCTGAGAGGCAGGTGGTATACCCTATGTAATTGGAAAGTAAGTATAGTTTTTACTGCTTCCCACTCAAAGTTGTTTAATCGGATCATATTTTTACTACAGTATTATAGTCTAGAGCTCAAGTGCTCTGGAGCATTGCAGCTTATGATCTGTTATTTTCATAAATCTGTAGCAATAAAAGATAGCTAAATTGCCCTGGCTTTGGCCTTAAATGATGCAGGGTTAAAGTTGGAGCAGTCTAGCTATACTTGTATTGCTACAGAATCTATGCAGACCTAACAGTTGCATCATAACTACTTGCATCAATACCTTTTGATATCAATAAAATTGTCATGTGTCTATACTCCAGGAGTGCTTTTAAAATGAACTGTAATTCTTTAACCTTTTCAGCTGCAGGGTGGTTCTCAATTATTGTTTCATCAAATGAAGAAAATGTGGAATGCACTTAGTGATTCTAGAAATAATCTTTGGAAAACACCATTTAAAAAAAGAAAAGAAAAAGAAACTCTCTAACTTCAAACTGCAGTTGCTTTGCTTGTCTTTTTTGCATAATGCAGATTCCAAACTGATTTTGTTGCTTCTCTGAGAAATAGTGTGTCTGTCTGTAAGAAGAAAACAATTCTTCTATCTTGCCATACTCCTTAAGGCTGCTGGCAGACATTTAATATGATCATGCAGTTAGGATCTGAGGTTTTCATATTCTTCATCCCAAATATGGTGCTTCTTGTCATGGCATCATCCTTGCTCCCAACCCAGTCCCTCTCCTATTCTTCCCTTCCCCTTCACCCCATCTTCATACTAACCTTCACCCATCCACCTACATGACTGCATGGGGATTAGGAGCTCCCTAACCCCGAGGAATCTGCAATGTGGCATTGGCTGTAGCACAGGGCTTTAAATGTCCCTGAACATGGAGAGCCAATAGATTCCCTTGTGGGCATTGACAACCCCATGCTGCAGGGATTTGGCAAGGGGGAAAAGCCCTGAGTCCTGGTTTGGGACCTGTGGCTGCTAGATTTTCCCAGGATTAGGCATTGGGCAGTGGTATCCCAGACCCTGAGGCTGCCCCTTTTCTGATTCTTACAATCCACTCAGGATTGCTGTTCTCAGGTAGTACATTTAAAAAAAAAAAACAATTTGAACAGGAAATTCTGGAACAAGAAGTTGCCTGCAGACTGGATTGTGTGAAGCATGATTTAAATAGGGACTATGGATTTTTATCCCATCACCTTAGTTCGCTTTTCTGACCCTTTTGTCTCTGTGGGGTCTTTTCTTGTTTGCTTCTCCCAGCAATGCCCTCCTTCCCCCTCCCTCTTTACCTTTTGTATTCAGATCACTCACTTAATTTCATACACCGCTGTATACTTGTCCCTTCACAGTATCTGATAAATTGAGTTTGAGTTCACAAAAGTTTATGCTTTTAGTTAGTCTATAATGTGCATATCTGCCCTGTCATCTGCCTGACTACAACCTAACATGGCTAACTTCCTTCCAGTCAGCTGATCAGCATCAGCAGCCCTGGGTCCAGGACACATGTCATGTGTTTGGTTTAAAGCATGCTACAAACCTGCCTCAAAGATGTTCTGAATCTAATATGGAACATCTTTGTGGCTGTTTTCCCATGTTATCCTGCCATAAATTCCCTGAACATGTGGCATGTTACAGTTCACTGTCAATGTCATATCAGGGGAAAACGTAACAGTTTCCAGAGGCCTAATACTACACTTGGAATAACTAGGCACCATTTATTTGGGTTTACCAATATCTGCTCAATCTACTTGGAAATAATGAGTTAAACATTTTTTCTTATTGAAATAATGGAGACTACGTTCTTGTATAGAAATACCCTTTTATCAGAATTTTTTTCTATATACTTCCATAACGTAGGGTTAAGATTATACCCTGAGCTATTTTATAAAGCTTCAGTGTTTTAAGGCTGGATTGCACCGCATATTCGGTTGGACTTTACATGGCAACAAAGAAGATTTGTATGCTACAGTGACATTAAACTCGTATGGACAAGAGTCAGCAAACTTTTAGTAAGAGCTACCTGAATTAATACCTTGGCTCTAAGGGAGCAGAGACCACTGTTATTGACAGAATATATATAAATGATGCATGCTTACTGTTCGTCTAATGGCATAAATTCCCATGCTTGGTAGGCCAGATCTGGGCTGAGAGCTGTAGGATGCTGACACCTGCATAAAAACATTACAGTTAATGGCACTGTCCTTTTTATATTAATTACGATTTTGTTATGAGCTCAAAAAGAGAGGTTTCTGGCTACCTCTAATAAGACTGTAAATCCTATTGGCACATGTTATCTCTGTTTGTCTCCATAGCATATTCATGACTATATTAACAGCACTTCTGGAACACCACCACTTGTCCAGATTGTAATAGTATGTCTTTTTGTTTAGAACAGTTAAGGTAAATTCTGTGCCTGGTCACTTTTGGGACCTATGCATTGTTTTGTGTTTGCTTCTGAAAGGAGTTTTTCATTTGCACAAAAACAAAAATTTTGTTTTTCATGTAATAGAAGTCTTTAATTTCCTTTATGTATGTTTT